GGATTGCAAGTTCAAAGACTGCTTGGGCTACAGAAAAAGTTAAGATCAGTCTGGGAAACTTAGTGAGACCCTGTCTCAAAATAAAAAGTGGAAAAACGAAAGGGACTGGGCAATTAGTTCAGTGGTCAAGGATGTTTCCAAGAGTGAGCCAGGCCCTTGGGTTTAGTATCAGGTAGCGCAAAAAGACAAAAAATTGTTTTTTATGTTTTGGGAATTACAAGAACAAGGCACTGAAAGGGAATGCCCCTTTTGGGCTCATGTATTTGAATATTTGGTCCCCAGTTGCTGCTGCTGTTTGGGCATTTTAGGGGGTTTAGTCTCGGTAGAGGAAATAAGACATTGGAGGCTGGCTTTGAGATTAAGAAACCTCAATTTGTTCTCTCTGCTTCCTGCTTACCATGGAAGATGGGCACTCTTGGCTTCCTGCTCCTGTCACCCTGCCTGCCATGTGCTGTGTTGCCTTCGCACAATGTGGATGCTTTCTATCTGCTACTGGACGCCAGAATAAGTTTCCTTCTGTAAGTCGCCTTGATCATGGTGTCACCGCAACAGAAGAGTCGCGAACACAAAGCTAAACTCTTCTGATGCTTTAAGATTTTCTGTCATTTTAATTTATTCTGTAATTGGTAAGAATTTTGATTATAGATCAAGGCTAATTTTGTTAATAAAGCTTAATTTACTTATATATTTTTAGTTTTTATTTTTAATTTGAAACAGCCCTGTATCTTAGACTGCCCTTAAGCTCAACTGTATTGCTGAGAATGGCCTTGATTCTCTGATCCTCTTCCCTCCATCTAACATGCTGGGATTGCAAGTATGCGCCATTATGCCTGGCTAACTGAAGCTGTTTTCTTTTGTTCTGGTTCTCCCTCTCCCCCTCTCTCTCTCCCTCTCTCTTTCTCTCTCTAGCTCTCCCTTCCTTCCTCCCTCCTTCTCTCTCTTTCTTTTTCTCTTTCCCTCTCTCACTTTCTCTCTTTCCTTTCTTTTTTTCAAGACAGTTCTGACTGTCCTGGAACTTGCTTTGTAGACCAGGTTGGGCTCAAACTGAGAGATTCATCTACCTCTGCCTACAGAGTGCTGGGATTAAAGCTGTGTGCTACCACAGCCTAGCACCTGCCACTACTTCCTTAGAAGCCAAGCTAGCTGGAGTGCTGGGATGTAGGTAAAAGCAGGTAAGTGACCAGGCGGTGTTTTGGGACCAGAATGGGTTATGAAAATTATTTTTGAAGAAATAACATATTAAAGGGCTGGAGAGATGGCTCAGAGGTTAAGAGCATTGCCTCCTCTTCTAAAGGTCCTGAGTTCAATTCCCAGCAACCACATGGTGGGAGGCAGAGGCAGAGGCAGGTGGATATTGTGAGTTGAAGGCCATCCTGGTCTACAGAGAAATTTCTAGGGCAGCGAGGCTACTACATAGAAAACCCTGTCTAGAAAAAAACAAAACAACAGCAACAAAAAACAAAACCAAAAAACAAAACGTAAAATGGTGAATAGTATTACATTGTGGACTTCAGCAACACAAACACACAAGGAAGGCAGAGTGACTAGCACAAATGATAGGCTGGAACATATATGTTTACTTCTTTTTTTCCTTGGTCTGTATCTATGGTTTCTAAGATTGGGCCTTCTAGAGAAGCAGATGCTGAGAATAGGTTTGGGGCTCAAGGGATTAATTTCCTCAAAAGAAAGGGGGAGAAAGCAGAAAAGCACCAAAGACATCAAATCACAACTCTTAGTCAGCAGGAAGCACTGGATGAGAAACCACCTTGCCCTTTCCTATCTTGTTTATCCCCCGAGATGCACTGGAACACCGAGGAGGAGTAATCTTGGGTAAGGTGACTCCCTGCAGTGAAGGCAGACTTTGACTTCCAGCCTCCTGGAGACTGTCAGCTGACTGGACTCAGAGCAGCTGGGCAGATAGTCCTACCTTCCACACAAGCTTCACGCCCAGTCGTTCCTGGGCCTTTCTTCTTACTATGCGCCTGCTGACCTCGGGGACTTTATACAAAGGCTCTGGTCTCATGCCTGGACCTTGGTACAGCTCTACGGCTTTATTCAGTCCTGTATTCTAAGGTGTTCCTCGACGAACTTATCTTATACATTGCCCGAGAGACAGGCAGATGGTTTAAGGAAATACATTTTCACTTTAGGAAATATGAGACATTAGAAAGGAGGCAATATTGTGTAGAGTTGGCAATAATGCCACTACATTAAGAATCAAACACTCATGAGGATGCTTCTATATGTTTTGGTGGAAAGGCTGCTCTGTGCTTTTGTCTGGAGGATATGATGTATGACTTTAACAATCCAGTCTTCAGCTTTGTACAGTAGGCTTTCTTATCTCCAATGGCTGCATTTTGTTACCATGACATCTCCCTTAATGTTGACTTTGTAGATGAATATAGATACATTTAATCTACACACTGCATCAGCTGTTAGGTAATATCTAAATTGATGTAGCTGTTATTTATAGTAACTCATTTCCTTCCTTCCTTCCTTCCTTCCTTCCTTCCTTCCTTCCTTCCTTCCTTCCTTCCTTCTTTCCTTCCTTTTTCTTCAAGACAGAATTTCTTTGTGTAGCCTGTGCTGTCCTGGAACTTGTTCTGTAGACCAGACCAGCCTTGAACTCACAGAGATCCACCTGCTTCTGCCTCCTGAGTGCTGGAATTAACGGCGTATGCCACAACCACCCGGCTACATTTTTTTATCTTTAAATCTTGATCTGAACAGACTTTGTGGAGTCAGTTCTTTTCTTTCACCTATATTATACTTATTAAACTCAGCTCAGCAGGTTTGCAGGACAGACACCTCACCCACTAAGTCATCTATCTCATTTACCCATTTATTACTACTTTGGAACATCATTAATTCTGAATTTCATTCATGAGGTCTTTAGTACTGAATGTAAATGACGACACTTAAAATTGTTATTATCTCAATTTATTATTGGTTCTAATTTTTAAAGTTTTATTTTTATTGTTGTACTACTGCCCAGCTTATTTTTAATATTTTTAATTGTGTGTCTATATGTGGATTTGTGCACATGAGATGCAGATGCCCTTAGAGGCCAGAGGTGATAGATCTCTCAAGACACTGGGAACTCAACTTGGGTCCTCTGCAAGAGCATAAGTGCTCCCTTGGCGGTGGTGGCGCACGCCTTTAATCCTAGCACATGGGAGGTAGAGGCAGGAGAATCTCTGTGAGTTCGAGGCCAGCCTTTGTCTACAGAGCAAGTTCCAAGACAGGCACCGAAGCTACATAGAGAAACCCTGTCTCAAAAAAACAACCAACCAAACAAAAAGAATACAAGTGTTCTTCCCAGATGTGCTGCCTCTGAAGCTTCTAGTGTGGCTCTGATAAAATAAATTGTGCAAATAGCTTCACACCAAACCACTCTCTCTCACTGATGCAGGGTCTTTCCCTGGAACTTTTTCTGTAGATCAGTTTGGTTTGGAATTCATTCACGGAGATCCTGCCTCCCTGGAGTGCTAAGATTAAAGGCATGTGCTACCACACCTGGCCCCAAAGAGCAGAGTTTTTATTTCAATGTCATTAATAATGATAATTTTGGACTAATGAAATTGGTCAAGAACCTAATCTACACCATGTGTGTGTGTGTGTGTGTGTGTGTGTGTGTGTGTGTGTGTACAGCTATGGAATGCTCGGTTGCAAGCAGACTGACTGACCCTCTTGTGTAAACAAACCAGCAGGCAATTGTATTTCTGTCCCTTTAGGACTTTGAAAGCAAAGGTCCTTTAGCTCGTCGGGGGTGATGGGTATGTGTCATTTCTGTCTGGCACTAGAGTGCAGTGTGCTGCATTCGGACTCGGGGACCTTCAGATCTAGTCTCTTAAACAAAATTTCCCAATATAGGACTTTGATCTCTTAAAGCAACAACATTCAAATGACTCAATTTTCATACCTTATTTTTAAATGGTGTATGCTCCCTGGTTTTTACAAAAGAGAGCTATAAAGGAGAACACATTCTGAAACGACATTTCCACCCTGTGGAGAGCAGAGTCGGGGCTCTCCCATCTCTCACGTCCCCTCCACTCTCAGAGATACACATGTCATTTTAAATGTAGAATAATTCTCTACTTATGTTTTTGCACAGAAGACGACCTAAGACGCAGTAGATGCTGTGCTGTTTTTTTTTTCACAGTACATAGGTTTAAATTTATCTTTATTCACTGAATGTGGGTGACTTAGGCTGTCTCTACTTTGGTTCTTATGCACATATCAGGGTGATAATGTCACCTTCCCCAGAGAGCTGATATGAAGTTGAAATCACATCATGTATCTATGTAAACTACCTAAGTACTTCAGATAATATGTGGATCATAGTAAGTAGTTATTATGTTTTAGCTATTGCTCTAATTATGACTTCATAGTAACACTGAAGATTTTTTTTACAAATACCCAAAGGAAGAGTTTTCCTGATAATCATATTTCAAAATCATACTTTTAACATAAAACTATACTGTTTTTTGTATAAGTATATCCCATCTTTTTAATGCCACATATACAGCCATTGTTTCTAGTCTAATTTCTACATTTGAAGCTTTTTTTTTTTTGCAAAGGAGTAAATTCATTTAGATTATGCATTTAACTTAAATTACATTTATTTTCTCTCTCTCTCTCTGACTGTAGATCCAACTATCACTTGTGGGGATCGGTTCTGTCCTACTACCAAGTAGGTCCCAGGTAATATCGCACTCAGGTTGTCATTTATGGTGAATGCATCTACTGACTGCATTAGTCACCATTTTCTGGCTCTGAAGTTTCTCTTTTGAAGTTAGAATTCGCACGTAGTACACATTTGGTTTGTGCTTGTGGACCGCTCTGCCTGAAGACGACGGTAGAGGCTGATTACCTTTTCGTGGCAGCCGAAGAACTGCCCTACCGAGCGCAGGCTGCCTTCAGTGAGTCAGTTTCACACGGGCTACTTTACAAAACCTTAGTCCAACTAAAAATCCCCGTTAATTATTAAGCCCATCCGTATCATCTGGTTAACTGACACTGCAGACTGAGACCAAAGAGTGTTAATTCCTGAAGCTGAGCCAGTAACCGACAGGAAAATGTAGCCACGGGGGAACTGAAAAGTACTCAGCCGTTTCCTCTTGTGCTACCGAAGAGTGTCTGCTGCTGGGCTGGCATGTCTGCTACCTAACAAGCATTCTGACGCTTGTTCGGCAGTCCTGGTGTCCTGTGGAAGCATGGCGGAAATCAGTGTTCCAAGAATCCTCCTTCTGCTTATTTCTCTGGCCAAGGTTCTGGAGGGTACAAAGCTGCTGGCACACCTCAAAAAGTGTGGTGACTTGGAGTGTGAAAGTAAGTTTGCTTTTCTTCTTCACTCTTACATTGAGTTCTAAAAGTCACATTAAATGCTACTGTGGACCTGTGTGATGAAATCAACGCTAATAGTATTGAGAAATCTTTGAATTATAAACTACAGCTTGATATTAAAAAAAGAGAATTCTGAAGCAAAACATTTTGTGACAGCGTTAGTATAAATTTAACATAAAAGACAAAAATAAGATTGGTATAGAAATATGTCAGAAATGGCATTAATCTATGTGTCAAAAACTAAATAAAAACTAAAAATTTTACTATTTCTTAACGATGATTGAGTAGTTTAAAAAGACATCAGGCGTTTTGGTAATTTGCTCTTTATGAAGCTTCTGCATTTTAGTTTCTGTTTCACGATCAACACTTTCTGATTCTCATGAGTTTTTCCAAAAATGTTTTTATTTCAAGTGTCATGATTTAGCTGTCTAAATTGTATCAAATGTTAGTTATTTGTTTTAATTTATTATGCAAAATGCTGAAGTAAGTGTTCCGATATATATGATTTATAACATTCAATATTAAATTCTCTTGAGTTTCTATGATGAGAAAGTCCTTAACAAAGTAAGTTGCTTAAGAACTTACTTTTAAAATTTTTATTTTATATATGTGAGTATTTTGCCCACAGGTATTTATGTATTATACAACATATGTGCCTAGTGATCACAGAATCCAAAAGAGGGCATTGGATTCCCAAGCACTTGAATTGCAGACAGTTATGAGCTTCCATGTGGGTGCTGGGAACTGGTTCTGGGTCCTCTGCAAGAGCAGTAAGTACTCTTAACCACTCAATCATCTCTCTAGCTCCAAGAACTTATTTTTTTGTCTTCTACATGTTGATGCAAAATAACTTTATCCTGCAGAGTATGATGACACACGTCTTTAATACCAGCACTCAGGAGGCAGAAGCTGGCAGATCTGTAGTCCCAGGCCAGCTTGATCTACATAGTGAGTTCTTTGTCTCAAAATAGAGCAACAACAACAAAAACAGAGAAAGAAAATATTGTATGTTCATCTTAGAGTTGCTGAAAATATTTTCTATCTTTCCAACATGAAAGCTGTTTTTAATTTTGCAAAATGTAAATTTAAATACAAAATATAACAATATGTAACAAAACATTTCATATATCTATATGTATATGTATAAAAGATTTATTTGCTGTGTAGCTCTGACTGCCCTGGAACTTGCTTTATAGACCAGGCTGGTCTCAAACTCAGAGATCTGCTTGCCTCTGCCTCCCATGTGCTGGGATTAAAGGTATGTGCCACCACCACCCAGGTAGTAATATTTTTATGAATAAAAATTTTTGTAACCTTTCTCAGAAGTCATTTGAAACTAATGTTTAGTACATCTTTCTTTCCTTCCTTCCTCCCTCCTTCCATCCTTTCCTTCCTCCCTCCCTCCCTCCTTCCTTCCCTCTCTTCCTTGCCTTCTTTCTTTTCATCTTTTTTTTTTTGTTGTTGTTGTTGTTTGGTTTTTGTTTGTTTTGTTTTGAGATAGTCTCTCTACATAGTCCTGGCTGCCCTGGAAATCACTCTGTACACCAGACTGGCCTTAAACTCACAGAGATCTGCCTGCTTTCTGCCTCCCAAGTGCTGGTATTAAATTTTTAAAAGAAAGTTTTTTTTTTAATTTATTATTCATTTTATTTTGCTTGTGAATGTTGTGTCTGCATGTATGTCTGCACACCACATGCATGCCTGGTGCTGGCAGAGGTCAGAAGAGGCCATGGAAGCCCCTGGCACTGGAGTTACAGATTGTTGTGAACTACCTTGAGGGTGTGGAGCCATCCACTGGAGCACGTGCAGCCTGCTGGTGGCCACACCCCTAGAGAAATGACTCCTCCCTCAGAAGCCATGGACTCAGTAGCCCCTCAGCTAGCAGTCCCTGCCTGCTCTGTTCTGGGATGTCAATAGTTTGATCTTGCCCAGGTCTTTGGCAGGCAACCACAGCTGCTGTGCATTTGTGAGTGCAGCAGCTACATCATATCCCAAAGTCAGCATTTCAAAACGCAAAATATGAGCAATTTAAATATAAACATTCATGAGTGATATTTTTTATGCATTATCCTTTTTTCTTAAGGAAAAGGCATTCAATATGTAGAGAAGTTTTTGACCACAGTACAATGGCAATGACAATTCTTTTTCCACTTTGTATTATATCAACACTTTAATATCTTTAGGATTCAATGGAAATTCAAATTCATAGTAATTTATAATGCTGTTTTGACTCTTTTTGTTTTGCTTTGTTTCAAGACAGGGTTTCTCTGTGTAGCTTTGATGCCTGTCCTGGAACTCGCTCTGTAGACCAGGCTGACCTCAAACTCACAGAGATCCTCATGCCTCTGCCTCCTGAGTGCTGGGATTAAAGACTTGGGCCACAATCGCCCAGCACTATTTTGACTCTGATTGAAGGACTTAATCAGTATGTTTTTAAATTTTACACATTAGCACCATAATAGTTATGTGATGCGTATGTTACCCTAGACACTGGAGGGCTGAATCAAACATACGTGATTCACTCAGAGTCACTGAGGGCCTCCCGTGTCTCTGGGGGATGTGCTTTAATACAATGTTTTAAAAGGAAATAAAGTGAAATGTAAGCCATTTCTTCTTCTGTAGAAATATTAATTTTATTTAATAATGGCACAAGAGATCAAGGTGACACAATGGTGCCATAAAATTGTGAGGACGGCAGGTAAGGCTGGAGTTCAGACTCAGACAGGAAGCAAGATTCGAGCTAAGCAAGAAGAGAGGTGGGCTGTTTCCTGGACTGAGGGAAGATAGATACTTAGGATAAGGAGGTGATGTTGCAGTTAAAAAAAAAAAAAAACTCTCAGGGCAGATCTAGCCAACCATAGCTCTATGATCAGCCCCCTAAACCTTAGCTAAACGCTCACTTTTAGAATGAAATGGGGTTGTTTGCCTTGTAGATATGCACCTAGGATTTAACAGAATGAAAATCTAATGGCTGGACATGTAGATAGCAGAAAGAAAGTCAGCATCCTGCACACTGGAGAACAGTGGTGACTCCCTCTGAGAACAACGTATTTGCAAGCTGGAGTCTGTGGACAGGAACAAGAGAGGTTGCTTAAAATAGGGAAGGGCACGGGCTTCAGAGATGGATCTGTAGTTACGAGGGCCTACTGCTCCTGCAGAGGATCTGGGTTTGGTTCCCCGCACCTACATGACAGCTCATAACCACCCATAGATCCAATTCCACTGGATCTAGTACCCTCTCTGGCCTCTAGTGAACACCAGGCACATATATGGTGCATCTACAGTCATGCAAGCAAAACACTCAAACACATAAAATGAAATATAGACATCTTTAAGATATAAAACGCAATAAGGAAGGGAGAGCCTGTGAGATACTCAGTGGGTAGAGGCGCTTGCTGCCAAGCCTGAGTTTATTGACAACCGGGACCCACAGGATACCAGAAGAGAACTTACTCCCAAAAGTTGTGTTCTGGCCTCTACACATGCACTATACATGTACACGCACACTTGCACACACACACACACACACACACACACACACACGTGCGCTCACATGCAAATGTAATTTAAATAAAAAAATGAGTAAGTGGGATCATTGTAAATGATCTTTAATACTGTGTCAAAAAATCTGGGCTTGAATCTGTGTGTAGTGAAAAGTTTATTTTGGTTTTTGAGATTAGTATTTCAAACTTTTTATTATTATTATTATTATATTACTACTACTACTATTATTATAGAAATAGCCTGTGGTAGTTTGAATGCATTGGCCCCAGAAGCTCATAGGGAGTGGCACTATTGTGGTTTTGTTGGAGTAGGTATGACCTTCCTGGAGAAGTGTGTGACTGTGGGGGCAGGCTTTTAGCCGAGTGGCACAGACACTTCCTGTTGCCTTTGATCAAGATATAGCAGCACGTCTGCCTGCACACATGGACTGAACATCTGAAACTGTAAATGAGTCACCACAATTAAATGTTTTCCTTATCAGAGTTGCTGTGGTCATGTTGTCTCTCCACGGCAATAGAAACCCTTACTAAGATATAGCCTAAATTCTTGAAATCCTCCTACCTCAGCTTCATGAGTGTTGGGATTACAAGTGTGAACTATCAGGGCCAGCTCTCATTTCAAAACATAAGGGATGGCCAGGTGGTGGTAGTGCATGCCTTTTATCCCAGCACTTGGAAGGCAGAGGCAGGTGGATCTCGGTGAGTTCGAGACCAGCCTGGTCTACAAGAGCTAGTTCCAGAACAGCCAGGACTGTTACAGGAAGCCCTGCCAAAAAAAGAGAAAAAAAGAAA